TGCTAATCCATGTAGTATTCATATCCGCACGACACACCCGCCGTTTCGCGTGTACAAACATATCAGACCGGACAGATTACATTCATTTGTACAAGTTTGGACGTACGTTTAAAACTTTGCTAACGACATCGTGCCGGGGCTCCATCAATCGATGATGGCCGAACCTCATTCCTATCCCGTCTCTACAACTACCATTATGTGCTCAATAACTTTTAGTTGGGACAAATTGACAATATTGGCGTGTAACTATAAAGATGGTTAGTCATTCACCTAATGAGGTTCATTTGATGAGAATCAGTTATAAAATAGTGTTACAACGTGAACTGGATAAAATTGTAAGCATGACTTAATCATTGCTTTCAAATGTTTAACTATTATTGTATTTTAAGTATATTTCTTGTGTACGAGTACTCAAATGGCAATCCAAAAATATTGATTTATTTTTGTTAGTCCCGTATCTTAAAAGCTGATAATGGTGGTTTAATTTGGTTCTTTTCTTACTTGAAAAGTAATACTATAGTGTTTTCCTACAGTTACCTAACAATGTACATGTTCTCTCACTGATTTGAGAAAGCAAAGTGGCCAATTCGCTCATCAGTGAGACAATGTTAACATTGTCTCACTCTAATTACCTTGTCTCACTCCAGATTTGCAACGTGAAGGCACGAAATAGTGAGCGCGTAACATGCAGGCAACGTCTTATGCGCGCGAAATAGGTACGTTGGCAGCACTGGTTGTAAATCAGCTGGTCAGCTGTTGTACTGTTGTATTTGTCACTTCACAATTAATTTTATATTAAAAGTTCACTTCTGTGTAAAAACAGGTTATGTTTCTTCACCAATTTATTTGTTTTATGGTAACTGTAGGAAAAGTATAATGTGCAACTCGAGTTCAAAGTACAATTGCCTCACTCGAGAAACCATTCCTCACTCGCCTACGGCTCGTGAGTAAGGGTTTCTCTCGAGTGAATCAATTGCTCACTTTTCTCACTAGTTGCACAAATAACTATTGAGTTGAGATATAGCAAATAATTTAATTTGTTTGCACGATAATTGAAACTACAAACGTCAACCATGATCGGCAAAGCTAATCATGGCCGCCTGAAGGTGCAATAATCTACAGCTTGACTTGATGGTGCCAATTCCAGGTTAACAATTATTAGTTTATTGATACTGTATCTTTAACTAACATTAGTGAATGTATGCGTAGATTACTTTCAATTGTGTGTTTCCTTTTTTAACTTTTCACTAATTCTAGGTATTTTTTTTATTTGTTGAAACCAGCATAGGATTTGAAAGTTTTTTTTTAGAGTGCTGTCAACCACGTCTTGGAAATTTTAGTAATTTCTATTGCAAATCCAATAAATAGTCTTACCGTATAGAAGAGTCAAAGTATAATATCGTATTTCGTAATAATTTTAAATTAATAGTAGTTTACGCAACGATTGCGTAAAGATAGTGTTAACAACACGAGCAGAAAGTTTAAGGTACGAGCCTTGGCGAGTGCCTTAAAAACTTCTACGAGTGTCGTTAACATTATTTACGCGAGTTGCGTACACTACTTTACCTACGACATTGTTTTAATTACTAAAAGTCACTATTCATAGTTTCAAAAGAGGTTATGTTTTCGTTTATAACCTCTTATTGCCACTGACAGTGATGCAACGGAACACGCTAATTGCACCAATCAACAATTAAATTAGCCTGAACAGCTGATTAGTTGAATTTTGAATCATTACAATTTTACTTCTCCTCTCTCAATCCTTGAACCTCATTGGTCCGTTACCCGTGTTGTTATGAGTAAAACTATGCTGTTATGAAAGTAAACAATGCTGTTATGAGATACTTTTCAATTCTAAGAACTGTACTGAAACGGCTACTTTAAAAAACGGTCGTAGGTAATAGTAGTTTACGCAACGATTGCGTTAAGTGAGTCTTTACGACACGAGTAGAAAATTTAAGGCACGAGCCTTGGCGAGTGCCTTAAAAACTTCTACGAGTGTCGTTAAGACTATTAACGCGAGTTGCGTACACTACTTTACCTACGACCGTTTTTTAATTACTATCAATCTGGATTTAATTACTAACAATCACTACTGATAACTTTTTAGAGAGGTTATGTTTTCGTGTATTGTCATTGCCACTGAAAGTGATGCAACGACTTGTTGTATAATCAGCTGATTTCCCGTAATTACGTGTTTGTTAAACTTCGTTAAATATTACATTGCTAGCAGCATTCTTACCATAAATAATATTGTATCAGGTACAATTCGGCAAATATTTCATTTATTTTTGGACTTCCACCAACTTAATTAAGAATACGCGAGTATCAACATGAACAAGTCGGATCAACAATTAAATTGGTCAACTGATCAGCTGATCAGCTGATTAGTTGACGTTTGAAGCGTTACAATTTTAATTCTTTTCTCTCAATACTTGAACCTCATTGGTCCGTTACCTGTGTGGATATGAGAAAACTATGCGGATATGAAATGAAACTATGCGGATATGAAAGTAAACAGCTGTAAAGTGAAACTTTTCAATTCTAAGAACTGGACTGAAATGGCTACTTTAAAAAACGGTCGTAGGTAAAATATTTAACAGTATAGCATATTTACATGAAGGTCTATTTTGAAGTAGGTCAAAAAACTTAAATGGGGTATGAGTGTTTTCTGGATTTTGAATAATGGGAAGATAATGAATGTTAACTTACAACATTAAAAGAAAATACACTACATTTTTTGCGGAATTTCACGTTAACAATAACAGATAACACAATTTCATAAGTGTTCAGTTATGCTGATAGCGGCAACTTCTACGCAAGATTTGCAATTAATAAACGCAACTTGGTCGCGTAATCGAGTGAAACTTAAACTAATCTTGCGGGACTGGAGAATATTCAATATTGGGAGAGAAGATGAATTTCATCCGGCAAACCCGATAGTTTCAGCTGCCGCCTACGACAAATCTGGAAATATTAAATGTTGAGTGTTGTGGTTTAAACGTTCTACAACACATACGATATAGGTTGTATGTTTTGTTGTATAAAGGGATTAGGTCTCTATGTTATATATGGAATAATGAAATTGATTTGAAATTGTTTTGGGGATATAAGTGCTCAGTTTGTGTTCCAAGCCATTCACTAACGAGTGTATAATTAATCGATTAAATAGTTTTCGACGAATATTAAGTCTTGTAAAAATTTGAGTTTACCAATTCCAGTGAAAATTAAAGGCTTGGTTTCGAAATCAATATTACATTATAATGACTAGTGAGAGGTCTCTATCATTAAAGTGTCGTGCGAACTATATTGATTGACACAAAGGCTAGACCTTCCGTATAATTAATCTTGTGTTACAAATATATAGTTTGAAAGTGGAATACGCCTTGGAATTGACCTTAATTCATCTTCAAAGAATTCAATGATTTATGTGTCTAAAACTACAGTAGTTACTTTAAAGCAAGAGCAAAATATTTCGTAGCAAATTTGATCTTAAGATACGATAACCTCCGAAAAAAATCTCTGCATTCTGACACCTACCAAAAGTGCCTAAGTTAGACGATTTGGTTTAAAAAGTTACGATTAGCTCGCATAGTTCTTAATAATTATTTTTTCATCCCCATCCGAATTAACACTCAAAGTGAACACAAACATTACTTAGCCTACAAAACCAACTAACCGATTACTTGATGGAAAAGATTACATAAAAGAGGTTCTTCTATTATGTTTATGATATTAATAGTAATGCCCCCGACCAAAACAAATGTTTGTAAATTTACATCACTTCCAACACACTGGTGTGACTTGAACGGTGGGCCACAGCTGTTTGACTTGGAGAACAACAAACGGGCTTTGTGGCGATACAAGTACAATGCAGTATCTCAAGCGGGTCCCGCTCAACGGTGTAAGCGCCGTTTACAATGGTGGAATAGACGTTTACTGTTCAGTAGTTCCCAGGGATACAATTAATAACACTTTTGACAATCTTCACGATTGAAATTCACTGTATGTAATTTATCAATAATTATCTCAATATAGATTTTGACGTAACCTTGTGATAAATTGCATTGCTTTCTACTAATCTTCCTAATGCTCTGTAAAGACTACCCAGATTGTTATAGTTTAAACAGTATGCATTAATTTGTATTTAAAAATAAATAAGTTAGGAGTTGCTTACAGGGTTATACTATCGAAATACTTTTTCCCATATTTCTCAATACTTCAAACACAAAAGACGTATAATACACAAAAATATCAGCCATTCTTTTAGTTGGGCACGATTGAAAGGTGTTTATGACACGAGCACACTTGGATATCAGTTTATTGAAATCTCCGTGTAAAATAGCAACAATCTTGGACTTGGGCTATTAAAGTACTGTAGATTTCATTTTAGACCACCTGTTGCCAATTCTATTATTTTCACAGACTAGGCGAATGAGCATCTTATGGAGTTGAAGTTCTATTATATAGATTATCTTTTAATTTTCCATACGATAAAATTTGATGGTGACAAAGATACATTTAACAATATGTTGCCCATTGTGTGGCATTATGATGATGATAAAACTGTATTTTACACGTCGTCACTCCATAAGGGGCTTAAGTGAACTAAATTATGTATTCAGAACTTAGCGACAATGTTAAATTTTAACATGGTAATAGAATGTCTACCTTTGCAATAGTGTATGTATCTAGTGATACGTTTATCAACTTTAATGAAGGGATATACTGCTAATACCTTTTTTGTCCTAGGACGATAGGCACGAGCATGGAATTGTTTTCACATTACTTCAGGCTATACCTAGAGGGTTGCGGCATTATCACTTGAATAAAATCCATTGGTGACTTGGCGGGATTTGAACCCGGGATCCCTGGAACCGAAGTCCCACGCTCTAACCACTATACCAGCTCGCTTCCCATGCTGCTAATACTAACTACAGTTCATCACACACAATATAATTGAAGTTTCAACACAAAGTATCAACACATTGTCAACTCACCACTGTGATGGGGTAGAGAGGGTTGACGATAGTGAACAGCAACACATGGTTGGGGGTGAGGTTCTCTGGCCTGCAACACAACAGAATGGTTAAACAATCGTGCATTAGACAATATTCAATAGGTGATACATTAAGAAATGTATTCATGTACCAAATCATTTACATTGTTGCTATCTTGTTACTACAGTTTGTCCTGTTATTATTTTGTTCTTCATTTTCAGGGTTTATTGTATTGTTATTTATTCTGAATTATTAATAGCAATTATTTATTGTAAGGTAGTGTTTTTTTCACTCAAAATTTGATTCAATTGACTCAATTTGATACACATTTAGATGCCAAGCAGAAATTATGTATACCTCCTTTAATAATGGTGAATACATTTACGAACGGTATCAGCAGTCAAAAGTTCTCGAATAGAAGTATCGTTATCCAGGTTAATGAGATGAGGAATATCATCGTAGTTTGTATATTAAATAGTTTAATTCGTTAATATCGATACAGTACATTATCCAGTAGTAATAAATTCGTTAATTTAATAATACTGGATAGTACACCGACTATAAAGCATAGTACAAGCAAATTAAGAGAATATTACAATATTTGGTTGTAGAAGACTAGTGTGATGTAACAAAATTACATTCCTCGGGAGTGCATAAAGTAGTTCTTTACAAAACACAATCATGAACGTGCAATGTTGAATGGCGAGAAGTTGGTTAATGTTTTCATGAGAGACCTATAAAAGGAATCAACCCGCGTATTGTGTCGTTGAAACGGTCTACTGGCTCAACTCAACGACGATGGAAACATTCCAACATACTTCCTTTTAACTTGTATTCTTGTCAGAAATGTTACACTTTCTTCCTTAAAAGTAACTACAATTTTACAATTTAGGCTTACTAATTTACAATTGACATGTAAATACGCATTCATGTAGCATTAAAATGACGATAGTCATTAAAAGATGGACAAAATCTGTAAAGACTAGGTATCATTTATCTTGAAAGGACATACCATTAGATATATCTTTATGATAAACCAATTTAGACATTTATTTAGCCAATGAAGCCACACGAATACATACGAGGGCTTGAAATAAGGATTACGTTAGGGTCATTCTGTATTACATTGTTATATTACCAAAGCAGAATAGTTGTATAATTCAAAAACTAAATGTATCGAACAAGGTCCATTTTCTGAATCTACCATGAAAAGCCAAACATTATACATGGAGTCAAAATTTTAATAAAGCTATTCATTCATGAGCATTTCAGACGACGGTATAGAGTCGACATAAGCATTTGTGTACACTGCGGTGCGGCCTAACTAGTTCATTAAACGTATCAGTGTATAGGTGGAGCAAGGGATGTTAACAACCCCTACCGCTCTAACTAGCACACCAGCAGGATACAACACCCTTGACTGACATTCACCAACTCATTGACACCAATCACAGACATGCCTAGTAAATACATCAGTGTACACTGCGGTGCCGCCTAACTAGTTCATTAAACGTATCAGTGTATAGGTGGAGCAAGGGATGTTAACAACCCCTACCGCTCTAACTAGCACACCAGCAGGATACAACACCCTTGACTGACATTCGCCACCTATTTGACACCAATCAAACACATGCCTAGTAAATACAACTGTAAATACAGTTAATACAGAACACGACGTTTTGAGAAAACTGCAAGTATCACATCCATCAACCGCATTATTGAATGCATTTGAAAGGTCGTGATGAGAAACTTCCCCGAAACATGTTTTCGATAAACTCTCTCTTAAGGGCAGAGACCTCAATTCAATTAAACGGCTTTATTTAATCTCATTGAAACAATTGAATACCCGTAAACTGTTACATTTGTTTTTTACTTTTAATTGTTTTCTTTATCCCGAGTTAACCTTTGATCATTTCCATTGATTTTCTATGTTGCTCCATAAAAAAAACGTGTCAAACGTTTTAATTCTGTATATGGCTTCCACATGCTTGCACATTAGCTCAATATTCAGTGTTTACAAGGATAAAATAGTCGAATGTACACGCGGTCCGAACTAACACAAAGCAACAAAAATATCACCAAGTACAAAATATCACCGATATCACAGACCCAAGAAATTTTTTAAATATTAATAACCACCATTCAACAGACTATGCCGATCGTTGTTTTTGTTGTTGTTGTTGTTTTCTTTTACCAACAGAAACTGAGTAATAATTATACGAAACTATACACTCAAAAGAAGAAACTTGGTATTCTGTAAATAGTCTATGTTTAGTAAACTTAAGTAGTCATGGAATGCAGTCTCAATTATAATAAACCCTTACAGCCCATTTACAACACCTTCCGTACACAATTACCGTTTATTTTGAAGAGCTCTCTAAGTGAAACTTTGGTCCGAGTTATATTTCAGTTCCAATCACAATTACCAAGGCAAATATTGTTTGTTTGTTTCAACTTGGACGCCTTACTTGGGCGAGCCCTGAGGAGGCAGTAACTTGCCACAAACTTACTTCCATGTCTCCAAGGTAGATGATAACTGCGTACCTTGTTTAACTTGCTGGAATTATTGTTTCCCATATTCTACAACTGCCTTGTAGAGGTTTGCTACTCGAGAGTGTAATAAAACTCTGCCAAATAATATTTATTTCCCAACAATGTAAATATTCTCATATCTTATCCTCCTCCAGAACTAGCCGTTCGAACCTTCTCCAAGGCATCACGCCATAGTCAAACCTATATAGCAGTCTTACAGCGTTTATTGCAGGATTGTCTGGTTAGAACAACATGAGTGAGACAGAACGTCAACTCTTTTCCATCTCTTAAAGATATCCTAAGTTTGTTTTGGTCCTAGGACGCTAGGCACGAGCCCAGAATTGTGTTTCACATTACTTCGGTCTAGCCCTAGGGGTTGCGGCATTATCACATGGATAAAATTCATTGGAGATTTGGCAGGATTTGAACCCGGGACCTCTGGAACCGAAGTCCTGCGACTAAGGCCCCGTTTATGCACCAAGTGCGGTAGCGGTAGCGACAGCGGGAGCGATTTCTAACACCATTGAGTTAAATGGGGCTGTTTATGCACCAAGAGCGATAGCGATAGCGGTTGACCTCCCGCTGCGATTTCTAATTCGCCCGCTGTGTAGTTAGGAATCGCAGCGGTTGCTTGGGCTGAAGCCAGGGTTGCCAACTTGACCCACGCGCACGTGCACTTAGGACAAATAGTTGTGTTAATTATTTGGCAGAGTTTGAGTTGGCAAGACTGTGCCCCCCTTCCATTCTCCTTTAACCAACCGCTACCGCTATCGCTCTTCGTGCATAAACAGACTCATTTACAGCGGGAGCGGGCCCGCTATCGCACCGCTCCCGCAATTGGTGCATAAACGGGGCCTAACCACTAGACCAGCTCGCTCCCCTATATACCCTAAAATAATAGTCCCATTGTTAAATTCTGGTATTCTATTAAAACGATAACCTTAAAACAAAAAAACAGCTAGGTCCAAAAATATCCAAATTTTTTTAGATACTTAGTTCCCAACTTGACCAAACTGTCCTCAATCACAAATTTAAACATTGTCTATATAAATAACAAATCAGCTGGTATTCGTCAAAACATGTGATCTCATTAATCCAAACCCAGTTATTCACCCATCTTCACCCTTAAACAACGCACCATAGTACTCTGTGGTACTCGTGAAAATTGACCAACCAAACAAATCTCATCAACGCATCACCTTGTGATACGCATTCATAGTCCACACGTTAGATTTACGATACTCGGGCGTGTTAAGCGGACAAACTCAATTAAGCGAGAGGGATGGGGAGGGGGCGTTGTTAACGGAATATAGTGTTTAATACACCTTTAATTAAACAGCCCCCAACAGGCAGGCTGGCATTATTGTGTCAGGTCGGGCCACAGTACACTGTACATACTGTACCAGGTAAACTAGACTAGATACGTCACACAATCTAGCATGCATGACCTTGTCCAATACTAGACGAAAATTACCTCGTATGACTTAATGACTTATGATTGTTGTAAACCCAAAATTCTATTTCTAATTATAAAAGTATAAGCAAATAAATGCGATTGATACTAAATTTATTTTGCAATGCAAAAAGTGACATTTACAACTATGTCACCAACATAGATCACTGCTTTGAAGCATTGACAAGTTTAGCTAATGCATCAAGTTAATTAAATTTTCCCCACATTGTCGGTTATATGTATTGTATTTTTAATTACATTAATCAAACAGCTCTCCAAACATATTTTTAACAAATACTAATAGAACTAATTGGGGGGAGCGAGCTGGCATAGTGGTTAGAGCGCGGGACTTCAGTCCCTGAGATCCCGGGTTCGATCCCCGCCAAGTCACCAATGGATTTTATCTAAGTAATAATGCCACAACCCCTAGGTCTAGCCTGAAGTAATGTGAAAAACAAACCCAGGCTCGTGAAATAAATTGAACTAATTGGAAAAAGACAAATAGTGTGGCAGTAATTGAGTATAAGCCTAAGAATTGATAAGGAAGCATAATACAGTACCGTCAATAAGACAAGTTTTAAATTGAATTATCAAAGTTGCATTACACCCCCAACATAAATGTTGCCAAATTATTTTGACACAAACGCCAATTAACCTGCACTAAACACGGCCCGTAATTTCGGCAATAAAAAGCACCATTCACAACATACATAACATGAATTTGTCTCATAAACAAACAGTACATAATAATACCCCAGTACATAACAGTTTAATACCCCACTAGACTATAAATTGCCGCTCCGTGGTGAGCTACACCGTGTCAAACTCTAATTCACTTACCGCGGCGGGAGAAAAACTGCGCAAACAAGCAGTAAAATCTGACCGCATTAATGTACACTGAGTTATGGCACCTACAGGCGACACAAATGCGCGGGAATGTTTGGCGGGTAATGAATCACACTGGTGGGACTGTTGCGAACATTGATCGAGTGAGATCGGACATTGTCGTGGATCCGGACAAGATAGTGTGAAGAAAATGCACGTAAATTACGCCTTCCACAGACATGGAAAGTATAGAAAAACTA